TCTTGACTACTTTATCAATGTTACTGAAACAACGTTTCAATAATTCAAGACTGTTGAAACGTTCCACTAGCGATTCTGGAAACCTTCCGTAGTTTCTGCAGGCAAACGATCAAGTGTCTTAAGAATTAGGATTTGCATTGCGCACTTGGTTTTCCCAATACTCACAAACATGAGTAACGTCACTGTTTCTTTCGCTTGTCTGTAAGTCCGTCCTAAATCTGGAGGATTAGTGTGATATTTTTTGGAATTTTCAGAACACCTGTTCTTTTTCTCAATATGACATAGGCGTAATTTGATTGAGAGTCTAATCCGATTTGATTTACTAAGACAAAAACGACTTTCAGATAGGCAATCGTCGGTTCATTCTTATTTCCTTTGTCACGGTATTTGCTGCTCAGAAGAAACCCTTGCTGACATTTGCTGAATACATGAAATCTAAGGAGAACGTCATTTTGAATTTCACTTACGAATAAAACTTGAGATTAATAGAAGTCTTATACAAGAGGACCACAACCACGCATGCGCAAACGGCTCCTGCTATAGCCAACCTCATAACCGTTTCAAAGTAGTTTGATTGCTTCACTGTAACCGAACTCATTTCTAAAGTAAACGCAAATAATAGTTTGAGAAATTTCGTTTGCCCTCTTGCTCGATCCGGACCTTCTTCTGCTCTACGGAACATTTGTTGTGGATTTCGGGCTCTGAAAACTCCACCATTCTGACTAGCCCATTTTTGAAATCATGAAGGTTGTGGTCATTGGGCAATTTATGCTATCGGATGGAGAGAGAGAGATAACAGCCAGCCCATGGAAAGGACGCTTTTCAAACGGTTTGGGGGCGGAATCATTATTGCCCACGTTTGAATCCAGGTTCACTCATCATACCTTTACCGGTGCGAAATTGAACTTCAATGTGCTTTATTTAAAATTGTGAATCTTATCGGACGCAAGCGTTTCTTTTCATCTGAAATTTTAACTTAAGATAATGCTTCCTTCAATTCTCCAGATCTTTAATAATATCCTTGATTGTTTTCTGAATTGCACTATTAGAGAGCACCAATGCATAGCTCAAGTTTTGGTATGCGCTTATACCACCTCTATGCGAATATAGTCTGCTGCGTTTGTGCCTTAGACTTGAAACGTCTTTGAAATGGATAGTTGCAACGGGAATTTGATATTATTTATTGATAAATACTTCCTTCGCGTTATGTTTTAATGTCTCAATTTTTTCTTGAATCACACTAACTTCACCAGCAAAAAAGAAAGAATACACTTGGCATTCTTAGCACCTTGGTAAGCTGTTGTGACTAATTACGTCTGTTTTGTGAACTCGTCTTCAACCATACCTAAGCAAGTTCATTGGGTGCCATAAAAATTGCAAAGTGAGTCTATAGCAACACCCACCAATTCTGATACATTCTATTCGTACAAAAGTGCATCAATTTATGGAATCACAATGGAAACCGGTAAGCGAAATATGTTCTCACCTTCTGAGCACGTTTGTCCGATAAAATGTGTATCAAAACAGTCACACACAAATCGATCCCAACCGTTTATACACCGTCCGCCATTCGCACATGAATCTCGACTGCACTGCCCTTGTGTGATCGATCTGGTCTCACAGTGAGCCTCCACATGTTCCCGTGCCCAGCAAGCTCGCCGCTCCAGGTCCACGTCCCACAGACGCCCGTCGACGCGCAACTCGCCCAAACACCCTATGTAATCCCATCGAAGGCGTGTTGACCAGACCTCGGGGGATATGAAAGAGCTCACTCGACGTATAGGTTCCGGAACCCCGCCGATGTAGAATACACCATTCAGATTTAGATATTTATACCTGAACAGATCAAAAACCAGTCATGGATTATGATCTGCTTGCGATAAAACTAGTCATTTGCACTAGTATAAAAGCAACAACTTAGAGGAAACCAAGATTGAGTTAAAACCCTAGTTGGTAGGGATCATTGGCTGTGTATATTGATAATAATTTCCGCTTTTTATGACAAAACGTTTAATGACAGTGAGATTATGAAAATTTATTGACAAGAAATAACATTTGGCAGTCCTTATTTAATAACCAAACTGTGAGTTGTACACCCCAGATCATCAATTTGAAATTGTACAGACTAATCAATAACACTGAACCACGAAATCATTGTAATACTACTGACTGATTACCAACCCCGTATACAGCCTCAACGGTTATCTTATGCACACGGACAATTAAACAGCTCATGGAGAATAATAAGCTCAGTATGCTGAATGTCGGGATACTGGCTGTGACCTCTCACTGTTTGGGGTACATAATGCTCAGGCTCCAACCCAGTACATCTGGTCTCCGGACCAAAGTCAATTGGGCTTTGTAATTGGGGCAAAACTCACAGAAATGCAGTCCTGGATAAAAAAGGGTATGTTGAACTAGGATACTTAATACGGCTCATTTAGTTTGTTCGCTTGCCTGATATTATTAAGCTGTTGAATAGAGTATACATAACTGTTGTATGTCTACCAGACACTTTCTTGAGACTCACACTTTTTCCCGCTTAATGTCAGCTTCCTGCACCCCAGCTGCCACTACCGGTTCAAGGATGTCAACAGTACACATTTAGAAGGTAGTAACATTTAATAAATTTATTTTTCCCTTGAGCTGTAAACCGTGAACGGTACTTCTATATGACTGATTTTATGATACAAATAATTGGTTAATGTTGACTTCGATTTTGTATTTACCTTAAAATATTTCACAAATTAACTACTAAGTGCTCAAGAACAAATCCAGTTTATAAAAGGAAACTTGACGAATGTTTTGACATGGTTGGGTCCCATCAGCAGCACGAATCTATCTACCCAACTGGGGATGTAGCAGGTGATTAGGTTGTGAAAGCCTTCAACCGAGTCATAACCCCAGAGGCGCGGCATGTTGTCCACAGCAAGCTCGGAAAGATTGGTTGTTCTATACCGCGTAAATGGAAAATGAAACAAGACCATCTGATTAGCTGCGCGGTGGCCAAATCGGCACCATTCTTGCGTTTTGCCTATGAGATTCCGGATTCGACCTCCATTTGGGTCGATGTATTCTCACTGCTGAAGAGACCCGACCAGGTCAAAACAGCTGCCCAGTACTTTCCAGATTTTCGTTTCAAGCTGCACTTGCTGTACACACGACCAATCTCTCCATTATGCGCATGTAACAAATTCATATTATTTCTTCAAACAATATTGACACGGATATTTGTTCCGAGCTTGTTCAATGAGAACTGGGTAGCTGGGTAGAGCCAAAGGTTTCACCATGCACCCGTGCAAATTGAATTCAGTTCTACATAGGAACAATCCTGATATAATTGATCCGCCCGAACCCACATGAGCACCGTGACAGGGCATGCGGGATCCCGTAGGAAACGTAAGTATTTTTCGACACAATAAACGATAAACTCAGAGTTTGTTCATCTGCTACATTTCAATTTATTCCTGATGTTTTTCTTTTTGCCGTTAGTGTAATGCATGCGCTATGGAAAGTGGGTAATATTTTTTCCACACTCAGATCAGTTCCAACATTTGACAATTTGTTAAAACAGTTACTTGCACACAAGTCAACAATCAATATTTTCTCTCCTCATCTTTTTTCGCAATTTTTGTTTTCACCATCTTGCTTTGAGCATAAAGTTATAGCACCACTGAGCTCGGGTATAGGCCTTTTCAAAGTTCCTTGACAAACAGTCATGTGAAACTATCCTCTGTTCATAACCGTTTTTGGAGTGAATAATTTATTTATCTATGAATGATAACGTAAAACCAAATATCAAATCAAACTTGCCAATAACCATGTACTATCAAAAATATATCATCTACGCCAAAAATTCGCAAAGTTTAGATAACAACTGGAATATAGAGACAAGAAATCATCAATTTTTTGGAGTATTTTGAAACTAAACGTTTTCTTCCATTGCACCTGTATAGTCTCATTATTTGTGCAGCCTTTCAATTTTGCACGCACTATTAGTTTGGTGAGTACAGCCAAGAGTAAAATACTTTTCGTGACTGGTAGACTGTTCTCAGTTTATCGAACCAATACCCAAACATTTGTAAAACGACATTCACCAATATATAGCCCGTTTGATGATTAATGTGAATAAAATGGAACTCAGAACAGAATATGAAGTAGGCCTCGCGCGGAACATTATGTCACTTTATTAGGAACGAGATCTCACATTGCAGTGCGACAATCACCAGGAAATTGTGAACCAGCTCTTCGCGAATTCAAGAAC